ATATCTTAATGTTTACGGTACTTTTTATCAATCAACAAAAAAAAAAAAATTATAAATATTAAAAAAATTACATTTGAACAAATTCTAACATAAAATTTTTACTTTGAAACTTTAAGGCATACACATTTTGTTTGACTCTATAACTAATTTTTAAGATAGCAACTAAAATAAGTTTCAATCATTATTATATGAAGAGACATGTGTGATAAGAGTTTTACGTCAACTTTACAGGACCGCGGGACTCAGAAGATGGCTCCGTCCCTGTTAAGTTTATTGTTTTGTTTGTTATAGTGAAACAATTAATGAAGAATTAATGAACCCTCACATTAATTAAAAAAAAAAAAAAAAAGTAAAACGGTGGCGTTTTACGTCACAGCAGCCACTGCTATGAATCCTCCACAGCAAGGACCCCTTCTCCTAATTTTTTAGAAACTAATATTAGTTCAAAAATTTTAGTATGGAAAATTTGGATAGGAATTTGGAATGATAAAGGAAAAAGATATGTGAAATGTAAATTAAAAATATAACTACATTTTACCTAATTTCATACACCTTTTCATTTTCCCTTTCAAAATTTCTACCAAAAACCATGAACCAAACATATCATCAATGTTTGAAAGGAGTTTTGGATCCTTTATTGTATTGATATACACTATTTAAAAAAAACTATATAATATATGATGGGAGAAGCAAGTTTTTAAAATGAATCATCAATCACATTATAAAGGAATAAAAACTAGCCAATAATTTTTTAAAAATATTTAAAAAAATTAATTAATGGATTAATTAATTTTAAAAGGATTAATTAATTTTAAATGATTTTTGAAATATGTAAATCAAAGTATAATAAGATTTATTTATTTATTTTTGAATGATTTAATAAAAGATAGAAGATTTTTTTTTTTTAATTTTAAAACTGATTAGTTAACTTTCCTTTTCAAATTTCTAAATTTAAATTTATAAATAAATTAATTAACTTTCCTTTTGAAATATGTAAATCAAAGTATAATAAGATTTATTTATTTATTTTTGAATGATTTAATAAAAGATAGAAGATTTTTTTTTTTTAATTTTAAAACTGATTAGTTAACTTTCCTTTTCAAATTTCTAAATTTAAATTTATAAATAAATTAATTAACTTTCCTTTTGAAATATGTAAATCAAAGTATAATAAGATTTATTTATTTATTTTTGAATGATTTAATAAAAGATAGAAGATTTTTTTTTTTTAATTTTAAAACTGATTAGTTAACTTTCCTTTTCAAATTTCTAAATTTAAATTTATAAATGGATTAATTAACTTTCTTTTTGAAATGTGTAAATCAAGACATAATAAGATTTTTTTTTTTTAATTTTGAAATTGATTAGTTAACTTTTCTTTTCAAATTTCTAAATCCATTAATTAACTTTTCTTTTGAAATGTGTAAATCAAGGCATAATAAATTGTTTTTAATAATTCAATAAAAGTTAGGCAATAAAAGATTTTTTAATTATTTAAAAAATAAAAATTTTAGAAAAATAATATGAGAGTTTTGAATTTCACAAGGCTCTTCTCATTAAAAATCTCATTTCTTTAATATATAGTATAGATATTGATTGGAATGTCGACACATATAAAACCATTAAACATCAAGAGAAAAAATGTATACAAAATGTGAATTGATTCCTATATTTTAGTGATACAAAAATTTGAATTTTAAAACTGATTAGTTAATTTTCCTTTTAAAATTTTAAATTTTTAAATGAATTAATTAACTTTCCTTTTGAAAAGTGTAAATCAAGCCATAAGATTTTTTTAACATGATTCTATAAAAACTAGCCAATAGAACATTTTTAAATTATTTAAAAAATAAGAATTTTAAATAATAGGGTTTTGAGTTTCATAAGGCCCTTCTTACTAAAAGTTTCATTTTGCTTAATATACATAGATTGAGATGTTAAAAGATAAAATAATAAGTAGAGTATATTTAGGCATCATTGTGTAATTTAGGGTTGATTGAGACTTGAAGGTTTTATTGACTACATATTGATGGTGTTTGGGAAGTGAGTTTTTATGTAGATTTTATTAGATGTAGGTTTTTATGAGATAAAAAATTTTTGGTGTTTGGGAAGATAGTTGGGTTTTTATGTGGTTGGATGTGATGTTTGTGAGAGAAAAAGTGAAATGATTATGGGGTTGAATGTGATATTTTGTTTGGATGTGTTTTTTTTGGTTTTGCAAAACTTTTGTCTTTTAGTGGAAAAAATGAGAAAAAAATTTGGGAACTTGCTTCCCAAAGCTGATAACTTGCGTACCTTCATTGTGAGTCCAACCACTAAATGAATTGAAAGACAAATTGAGACTTCGGAGCTCTTTGAAAGGAAGGAAGAGGGAGGCATTTATTAACCAAATCCTGGAATCGGCAAATGGTACATGTATTATATTATCCAGAGAGAGCTCTGTCATGTGTCCCGTGGCGCGATCACACGTGACTCTATCCCAATCACAGCAATCGCTGTGATGATCTGGTTTCTCATCAACCCAGGTAGGAAGAAGACGATCTGCATCAGCACCTTTGGATTTGAGGAAGTCCTTGAATTCCAATAGACCCCTCCTCTCTCCTTCCAAGCAACCATCACTATGTCCACTGACCAGAATCAAAACTATTGGTACCCATATAATACCAAACTTGCCCAGAAAAACCCACCCCATTTATGCAAAAATAAAAATAAAAAGAACTATATGAATGTAACCAACATAGTTCTTTGTATATATATATATATATATAACAATCTATGCTGTGTATATGCAAAGCTTGATCTAGCATATTTGGATTGGGTTGTACAGGTGGCAAGCATCCCCGTGGATCTATGGCTGATAATTATGGTTGGGTCTCCTCAGGACTTTGATTATTCTTGCCTCCACGAGTTTGGACAACATAACACCGACACTGCAAAGACTAGACTTTTAGGCCCCGTTTGTTTTAGGCTATAGAGAGGGTATTAGGACTAGTAATACCAAGGTATTACCAAAGCCCCTGTTTGTTTGCAGAGAAAGGGTTGGGACTATTAGTCCCTTGGTATTGCTAATACCCTTGGAAGGGGGATTGGTAAGGAGGAGGTAGAGATGGTATTAGAAAATAGTGAGGGGATTAGAAATTTTTTTATTTTTTATATATTGGGAATTTTTTTTTTAATATAATGTTTAATTTTTTATATTTTTTTATTTGTTTTATTATTTTATATAAAAATAATTTAACAATTCCTCATTATTAATCCCCTCACTATCAATCCCCTCACTATTAATCCCCTCACTATCAATCCCCTCACTAACAATCCCCTCACTATTAATCCCCTCATTATCAATCCCCTCCATTCTATCTCCCAAAACAAACGGACCCTTAGGGATTTGGAGTGGCTGCTGTGCGGGGTGCACAACAGCCACTGTTGTGTAGTTAAATGGGTCCATTTCGGGGCTCATTTCGATAATTTGAACTGTTCATATTTAGAATACATCAAGTAGAACATACTTGTAAAAAATTAAGTTAATCAGACATCGTTTACTCATTTATCAACTCACATTTGTATCTATAAAAATAAATAACAATTGTGATTTAAAGTATTAAAATAAATACAAATGTGAATGGATGAAAGGGTAAACGATATTTGATTAACTTGATTTTTTACAGGTATGCTCTACTTGATATATTCTAAAATATGAACGGTTCGCATTATTGAAATGGGCCCTGAAATTGGCCTATTTAGCTGTACAACAGTAGCTGTTGTACACCCCGCACAACAGCCACCCCAAATCCGACTTTTAGACTATTCTTGCCTCCACCAGTTTGAATAACATAACACTAGCACTACAAAGACTAGACTTTTAGACTACTCTTGCCTCCGCAAGTAGGAGTATAAAATTGGCCCACAGCCCGTGGGCGGTCCGAAGCCCACCCGCGGCCTGGGGCAAGCTCGGCCCGTTTAGGCTCGAGCCTAGTCCGAGACCCTAAGGCATCATTTTGAAGCCCGGCCCCGCCCTTGGCCTTGCCCATCAGCTCACTTAAGGCCCACTCCCGGCCCGGCTCGCGCCGAGGCCCAGTGTTTTTTTTAGTAGAAAATAGTAAAATTTTGGTAAAAATTTTTTTTAAAAAAAAAATAGTCAGGCCCGCCCAAGCCCAAGGCTCGACCCGCCTGAGGCCCTAATACCTCTAGGCCAGGGTTATGGCCTGGGCTTAATTTTTTAGCCTGTGGGCCAACCCGACTCGAATTTTGGTGGGAACTCGCAAGGCCCGACATGAGCCGAGCTGGGCTGGGCCAGATTTACACCCCTATCCACAAGTATGAATAACATAACACCAACCTGCAAAGACTAGACTTTTAGACTATCCCACACGCATCCCAATTGGAAGGCATCCAGAAAATCCAAAAGATACTACTACAAAATCATAAATAGATCACACTTTTTTTGTGTGATGTATATTGTTTAATCACTTTTTAAATTTTTTCAAAGTGTGATCTTTGGGAGTGATTAAAAAAGGGTCATTTTTAATCACTCCCAGAGTGTCATTAAAAGATAATTCCATCACACTTTTCGCGTGTGATAATAAATATTTAGATCACATCATTTAAGTATAATTAATAACATTTAGATCACATCTTTTAAGTGTGATTAATAATTAATAAAACTTATGATAATAAACACTTAAATCACATCTTTTAAGTGTAATTAATAACATGTAGATCACATTTTTTAAGTGTGATTAATAACTAATAAAACCTGTGATAAAAAAAAAAGTTCAACATATTTGAAGAATAATCAATATTATTTTTATACACACATTTAAAGAATGTAATACACACTATATACTATACTTTAAATCACAACCACATATTGAATGGAATAATGTTATATATTTCATAAATAAAAATTAAATGTTCAAAAGTATATACAAAGGAATTAAATAAAAAGTTTTTAACTGTGCTTACATGTATTAAAAAATGAAAAAACTTGAAAAACTAAGTTCTTGAATTCTTTGACCATATTTTATATCTCTCCAAGAAATTTCTGACCTAAAAAATAGAAATACAAATTACTTCAGAAACCGCTAGAAGTATATAAATAAACTAACTATTTGTAGAGACTGTTCTAGTCTTACAAAAGATACAGTCGAACATTTTCTCATCACACTGACTCTTCATCTCCTGCATCAATAGAAAAAGAATAACCACTTTGATTGCTACTAGTATAAATGTTTGGATTAGCATATAGATATGACATATACATAGAATCAATAAATCCAAAATGAATATCTTAAATACATAGCCAAAATCTTAAAGGAAAACAACTTCTCAACCAGCAGCTAAACAAGAAGGTCACAAGAATACTGTACCTAGACTAAATCACAAATCACATGAAGGAGCATTTTAACATAAATCCAATGTTAATTAACAAACCTCAAAGTCTCGAAAGAAACTCTCACCAAACTTCTTAGAGATCTGAGCCACAATACTTCCGCCCAGAGAATCCTCAACGTTTTTGTCACTGCAACAAATAAAAATATTGGATATAATTGTTAATGAACATATTCAACAGAAATTACCTACCCAAAATATTCAACATAAATTGTTCAGTTACAAATGATGCTTTTGAGGACCATCAGGATTTTGTCTTCCTCAAGAATTTTAATTGAAAAAAGATTGATAATCAAACAAGTGAAATAAATAAAAACTAACCATAAATATAGAGAAACTTGTTTACAAGGCAAGACAAATACAGAGAGAACAGCTTAATCGTAACTAAATTAGAAGCACGTCCCCACTCATTCTGCATTGGAACAAACTGAGGTCAAGTCTCCAAGCTCAATTTCTTAAACATCATTAACTAAGAGCTAGATGATTTCCATTAAATTTTGCTATTGTAACTTAGCTGATCTAGTTTTACCTTTTCCAGACACACTCCGCCGGGGTTGTTAACAACTCCGCCGGTCCCAAGCCCGGGTTAAGGAGGAGGGTTGTGTGTTAGGTAGCCGACAGCCAACACGTAAAAAAGCCGCTCGGATCCCTTATGAAAATGAATCCTACTTTGAATCGTTTAAATGCTAGGTCGTTCCCCTCAAGTGACGCGTTGCGCCTGCCTCCGGGTGTTTCGAAAAGTGAGCAAGGGGCGCCGCATCGACGCCTGGGTGCGGTGAAAAATGGGCAAAGGTTTCCGCGTTTTTCTGGACGAGCGCGGGTAAAGAAGCTAGTCCAAGACTATAGGTTTAGGATAGCCACTTGGAACATAGGAACCTTAACTGGTAGCACGATGGAATTGGTAGATGTTATGATTAGGAGGAGAGTTAGTATAGCTTGCATACAAGAAACTAAGTGGACGGGAGAGAAAGCTAGGGAAATAGAGGATACTGGTTTTAAACTTTATTATAGTGGTAAGGATAGACGCAGGAATGGGGTAGGAATCATAATTGCCAAGGGTCTTGTGGAAAGTGTGGTGGCGGTCACTAGGAAAGGAGATAGGATTATGCTAATTAAACTAGCTATTGGAGGGAATATAGTGAATATTATTAGCGCATACGCCCCTCAAGTAGGGTTAGATGATCAGACTAAGAGGGATTTTTGGGAGCAAATGGATGAGATCTTACAGGAGATACCCGTAGGAGAGAACCTGGTTATAGGTGGAGATTTTAATGGCCATGTGGGCATAGATAAAGTAGGTTATGAAAGGGTGCATGGTGGATACGGTTTTGGTGACAGAAATGAGGCTGGAGAGAGAATCTTAGATTTTGCGTTGGCTTCTGACCTGGTGGTGGCCAATACTATGTATAAGAAGAGGGAGGAGCATTTGATAACCTTTAAGAGTGGATTAGCTAAGAGCCAAATAGATTATTTCTTAATGAGAAAAGTAGACTGCCTAAAATGCAATGATTGTAAAGTGATTCCTGGAGAGAGTCTGGTCTCTCAACATAGGATTTTGATACTAGATTTATGTTTTAGAGGGCAATACCAAGCTAGGAAGGATGGTGGGCGTCGTAGGACGAGATGGTGGGACTTAAAAGGGGATAAATTAGAAATATTTAAGAATAGAATCGAATGGATAAGCGAAGGTACTTGGGACTTAGAAGGTGATGCTAACACTATGTTGGAATTCGATGGCCAATTTGTATGAGGAGAATCTCAAGGGAAGTGCTTGGAGAGTCGAAAGGAACGGGACCAGCTCTAGGAACTTGGGGTGGAAGCGAAGAGGTCCAAGCGCGGTAGTTAAGGCAAAAAAAGAGGTGCTTTAAAAAAGTGGCAGAAGGATAGAACTGAGGAAAACCTTAAGAGCTATAGATTGGCTAATAAGGGAGGTCAAGAAAGTATGTGAGAGAGATTAAGTTTGAAAGTTTATGATTGACCTATACACTAGACTAGATAGTAAGGAGGGAGAGAAGAGGGTATACAAAACTTGCTAAGATACGGGAGAGGAAAACAAGTGCATCAAGAGTGAGGATTCTAAGGTATTGTGTGAAGGACTGATGCAGATTAAGGAAAGATGGCAAGAATTATTTTGAGAAACTGTTAAATGAGGAACATGGAAGTACGACAATAGGGGAAGAGGAATAACAGTAATACGAAAACCAAGACTATAGGTTCTATCGCAGGATTAGAGAATTTGAAGTGGAGATTGAAATCAAATAAGGCTTTTAGGACCTGAGATTATCCCCTATTGAAGCATGGAAGTGTTGTGAGCGTAAAAAGGAAGTTGCCTTGGTTGACTAGGTATGTTTAGCAAAATTTTGTTGGAACTAGAACTGCCAGATGAGTGGAGGAAGAGTATTTTAGTGCCAATCTATAAGAATAAAGTTGATGTCCAGAATTGTAACAACTATAGAGGAAATCAAAGCTAATGTGGTCATTAATGAAAGGTTTGGGAGAGGGTTGATAGAACGTTCGATTGCCGAGACATAACAAGACTCGGTGTCAGAAATCAAATTTGGGTTTATTGCCCTGCCGAATAGTGTCCAACAATGGACGTGCGATCCTTGAGTTTTTTCGTATCTTTTTAGGGATATTAAGTAGTAATGAGATGTGTGTTATAAAGAAAATAGAAAAGACATCATGATTATATATATATACACATAAGTTATGACTAGAACAGACTAGTGCCCCGAAGATATAAATGATGGTGGGCGTTAAAGAGAAGATAAGGGGTGCCAAAGGCTACATTGACTTGATATAGGGACAGGTATGAAGGCGTTGGTGACCACTATTAGATCGCCAGCTGGAGAAACGAAATGAATTTCCTATCACTGTAGGGTGTACCACCAAGGATCTACCTTAATCCTTATATCTTTTTTGCTTTAGTTGATGGAGACGGTTGACGATAAATATTCAGAGATGACGTGCCCATGGTGTATTGCTTTTTGCAGACGAATATTTGTTAGTGATGAGACTAGAAAAGGAGTTAACACAAAGTTGGAGATAGGAGAAAGCTCTTGAATCTAAAGGATTTCGGATAAGCCAGAAACTAAAACAGGATACATGGAGGTGAAATTTAGTACAGAACAATGAAAACAGAGGAGAGAAGTTGAAGACTTAAAGAGAACCAAGAACTGCCTAAGAATGTGAAACATTTTCAGTTATTAGGGTCGATTATCCACAACAGCGCGGAGAGATGATGCCAGATGGGCCCATAGCGATTAAGGCGGAGGATGGTGTAAGTGGAGAGTGCGTCTGGGTATTGTGACGATAAACGAATACCCACTAAACTAAAAGGTATTGTATGTAGAACGGCTATTAGACAAAGCTATTTGTGATGGACGGACGAATGCTTGGAGCAACTAGAAACAACATGTAGATAAGATAGACAGTGTGGCCTGAGATGAGGATGCTAAGGTGGATGTGTGGTTAAGACTAGACAGGACAGATTAGGAATGAGTGTATTTCGGAATGGTAAGGAGTAGCGACCAGATAGAAGATTTAAGTTAGAGAGAGAATCGTTTTGAGACATGAGTTTGGTCATATTCAACGGAGACCAACAGAGCAAGTAGTGAAGAGATGCGATGCTTGTGTAACGGTAGATGGAAGTAGTAGGGACGGAGAGTTAGGCCTAGATTAACGTTTTGACTAGCCCGTGATAAAATAGAGCATAATGAATCTACTTGAATTTGACTAAGTGAAATAGGCTTTTAATAGGGCGTCCCGCGTGGAAGAAGAAGCGATTCATGTAGCCGACCCCATTTGAGGGGACTATAAGGGCTTCGTTTGGTTTGGTCTTGTTTGGCTAACACAGTCCAGATTAAATCCAAAACCATAAATTTGCCAACAAGTTGAGGGGCAAAGGGTTTCAGCACAAATGAGAATAAGAGTGGGAGATGAAAAAAGTAAATAGAACAGATCCTTGGCAATGCCAGACTTTTCATAAATATTCACAAACTAGTGCAGGGGTATAGATATAGACATTGTTTATGTTATTAAACCAGACTCGATCATAGGGTAGGGCGACAAATTTGGAACAATTATAAATTTCAAGTAGTCATCTAGGACTAATTACTTCATTTTTGTGGACTGGTATCTATTGAGTTGAGTTTATAAAATGAATATAGCTATTGAAGTTCAACCAATCCACAACACATTTCCAAATCATATCCTCCCTACCCCGAACCCCCTGCCCCAAACAAAATTTAAAAAAATACATAAAATAAGAAAGCAGGAAAATTTTCAAGAAATTGGCAGCCATTCTAAAATAATGAGTGCATCTGCATTACCATACAAAAACACCATCTTTCTTCAACCAAAATGGCTTTAGGACATAAACTTATCAGTATTCTTCTAATTTAAATTGTTTTAGTAAAGATCTCTTCCATACATATTTCGAAAACTATAAATTCTAGAAATCTATAATTGGGCATGATCATGAAGGAACTAAGAGGTAGATGACAACTTAAGAGTAAAGATGATAGCCAACTAAATAAAGAACTCAAAACACTGCACTTACTTTTGGAAAGTCCCCACGTAATGTAATCAGCAGCTTCCCTCCCCAAGTTCAGAGTTCTTCAACAGTAAGAAAACACCAAATTGTACCATTACAGGAAATTCTGCTGTCTCCATATATAACCTAAAATTGTTATATAATCAATTACTCATGCGAAAAAAAACTGGCACAAATATCAGTGCTTTAGATAGCTGAGTATGAACTCAGCTGAACTAGCATATATCAAGAACATAATCAAATTTACACTGCTTAATAATTGATTCAGTAATCCATCTGCCATAAGCAGAGAACCAATGAACTTAGCAAAGACAAACAAAAGGGTTTGGTAGAGCAAAACGTCCAGAAAAATTCTACTGCATTGCACAAAAATAAGAGCCCATCAACCCTTTCAATATTCAAGTTTCTGCCCCTCCAAAAAACTCAGACAAAAATTTATTCCATGGAACAATACCATATTTAATCCAAACATAACCACACAATTATGCCACAGCAAACTAGTAATTATATTAAGCAAAATAATTAAAGTGTTAAAAATATCAAAATTACCCTTAAATATGATCCGCAATCGAGTGGTCTAGTTAATTAGTATTTGTACTCAGGATCCCCACCTTACCCAAACCAATAGCCAAACTCACAGCAACAATGCAGAAGGCATAGAACCTGGAACATGGATTTGATCAGAAAATATGCAGTTAGCCTATTGAAACATTGCAAGAATCATTATTTCACAACTCACAACAATTTATGCTTACGACCTTGTCCAAATTCCAAACGGATTATGTATAAACCAGGCAAGGTTTGGCAAGGATTCCCTGACGTTAGGGAATGGGATTTCTATTCTCC